TCTCTCTCTTCTTCTCTACCTGTCTCTCTCCCTTCCTCTCTTAACCCATCTTTCATCTCTTTCTCATTTTCACACACTCTCTCTTCTCTCCTGCTCTCTCTTCCTCACTTTTCTCACTTCACTCTCACCCTCCTCTTTCTTTCTCTCCCTTACTTTCTCTTTCTCCCTCTCTCTCTGTCCTGTTATTGCAGATGTGGATAAATAAGTGCGTGTGTTGCTGCCAGTGTGTGAAATGGCTCGTATCTATCTCTGCCATTAGAAAGTGGCTTCTATTATAAAGCCCTGCATTATTCAGTGGGCCTGGGAGTGGGATCATTATGGATTTGAGCCTCTTGGGTGCAGAAAGCGGCCGGACCAAACTGTGAGGTGTGTGTCAAAACACTGCAAAGAAAGGCAAGTCCAAGCAGAGGCGGCCTGTTAAGAAACTAGGCCACGGCACACTTTCTTTATACTTCCTGGAGGATGGAAGGATGTCAGTTTAGAAGAATAAAATAGAAGTGATATACTGCAAATTGTTTACTTTTTATGTGTCCTCCAAAATATTTATGAATGTTTACACTACAATTCAGATTAAACTATGGTACATGTACACTCATATATCTCCATGGGGATATTTTGTTTTGGCAAGAATTTTCCACATTATGACATAAAAAAATACTTATATTCAGTAATACACATTTTAAGCATTTTAGTAAACATGGTAATATGGCCTAGTTTGGTGATGTAGGATACATTTGCCAGTGATCAGATAAGGACAGAAAAGTATTTAGAGATGTAAACAAACAATCACTCAATACAAATGATCTTGGTAATTTATCACCTACAGCCATGTTTTTTGAAAGTGGGAGAAAGAATAAATCTTGAATAATCTGAAATATTTCCAGATGAAATTCAGAATCGTTTTTTCAAGAGAAACCTGGCCAAGGTAACATCCAACACAATCAATACAAAACAGTTAAATCACAAAATATCACATTATGAAACCATTTGCATCTCTCAAGAAAAACATACATGCCGCACTCTTTACAATTTTGTTGAACTTATTAAGTGAACATATTAACCAATACCAGTGTAGTGAAGGAAAATTATATGTATATTCTTTAAAAAAAAAAACTCATTAGATGAAAGATCCAGTTGTGTAATATTATCATATATATTATATATTCTTCAAATGACTATTGAACTATTTTGTATGAGTAGAAGCTCAAAAATTGTGAGACATTCTAGGCCAAAATCAGCCTGTAAATAATCTTATTATGTCCAGTTAAAGGCCTAACCAGGATATCGGTTTAATTCAGATACCTGATCCAGCAAATTTTCAGTATTGGCACCAATATTAAATACAAATATCAGTATCGGTGCATCTCTAACTACACCAATATATTTTCAGCGTAGATCAAGCCCATAGCTCAGATTTATGTTCACCAGTGTTGTTTTGCCACTACCCAATCCGATGTAATAACTGACTGACATCTAATGCAAGCTTTCCCAGTGTTTTTAATAGAAAACATACTGCTTAACAGGAAGGAAGCCAAGCTAAACATATGGAGTTACTGCTGCACTTTTTACGTGTGGGATAAACCATGAATACTGAGCAGATATACACAGTACAGTATGTGACAGACTGTTCATTTCATTCTATTCTTACCCTCAAGAGGAAGCTATCGAAAACCAGTTTGTTTCACCCTGTTTGGTAAACAAGAATCTCATTTCTGTTGAGCTAACGATAACTTGTTGATGCATGTTCAGACCATGACCGCTAATGACCACATGTTCTGAGCTGAAGTCAGATTTGTTACATGCCTGTCACAGCAGGGCCTGTGCAATTAGACAAGGCTATTAAGCATTTGTTCTATCCGCCTTCAGCCCTCCACCGCTGCTGATTACAAGACGGGGGATCAATAATTAAACAAATTAAAGAAGACTGCGCGGTCAATTTTCATTTCATCGTAGCCACTGGGGACATTAGCGTCATGCAAACAGGTATAGGAGTGGAAAAAAAGACTTGGTTTAATGTGTTGGAGTGGGTGTTGTGAGTACAGGTGTGAAGGCTCATGTTGAGAAAAGACTTGTGTAGGGGAGAGTTTTACGTGGTTTAGAGGTTAATCTTATATATGCACGCTTGGGAAATAAATAAGTAAGTTGCAATCACCAAAAACGTTTAAAGGGAACATATTATGCTATTTTCTGATCCATGTTATAAAATTGTTTTCTCATCAAAACATACCTGGACTTGTGTTTTGTTTCATTCACACATGTTTAGGCTGAGTTCTTCTCTCAAACAGAAAACACCTCTGCTCCACCTTGTGATGTCATGTGGTAATACAGGACATGCTCCGCTGTGTTTTTAAACTCCATACACCTTCATTAGAATCATTTTGATCATTTCAGCCTTGGAATTGCCAATCTCTACTGAACAAAAGACAAAAAGCAGAAAACTAGCACTTCATGACATCAAAAGGTAGAACAGAGCATTTTGAGCTTTGGAGATGTAGACAGACAAATAATAAAGAATTACTCAAACATGTGTTAATGAAAGAAAACACAACTCCATATTTTTGAGGAGATAACAACATTATAACAAGTCTTAAATCTCACAAGAGTCAATTTTGAGCAACTTTAAAAATGTTCAATAAATGCAACTTTTTTTCTTACAAGTTTGTCGCTTAAATTTGATGAAACAATTTTTAAGCCAGATCCCTTCTCTTGCACAACCAACCACGTGGTTGGAGGACAACATGGATGAAGTACACTGCCCAAGGACACAGTAACATGCGCATAAAGGCATGATTTGAACCAGTGATCATGCATTTAGTGGGCAACTATTAACTCATTACTATTGTGCCGCATATGGGTAACGGTCCATAAGGCGTCTGTCATATGGCCTCTGCTGAATGAGTGGATGTTAAGGATATACTAATAACATTTACAGCAGAGAAGCTAGACCGTTTCTGTAATTGAATATAAGTGGTAGGTTGTGATGGCAACGGTTAGTCCTGTGATTCATGGCCAATAATCCAGGGTGTACCTCTTTGCAGATGGAATAGACTACGGCCCCCAAAAGACCAATAAGACAAGCAAATAAAATGATTGAATGAGATGTGTTATGGTATATTTTAAATCCTACAGCTGGGGCTATTATAGAGTCTTAATGGAAACACCCTTTCCATGGTCAATGCCAGTTATATGTATGGTACGTAGGTTTATTGATCCCTCGTGAAGGAAATTCATTAACTGCATTTGACCCAGCACCCGGGGTCTTGGATAGGACTGTCTTAGTTGGAGGATTTTATGCATGCTTTTGAAGGATGGGGGAAACCAGAGTGCCTGGTCATAGGGAGAAACATTCAGTCAGGAGTCAAACCCTGGCCCTTTTTGCTGTGAGTGTTGACTATGTGCTCTAATACAATGTACCAAATGGATTTCTGTACATTAATTCAATGGTGCAATGTGGTGTTGGTAGTATAGATATAAATTATTCACCAGGAAGGGCATATGACATTAAAAAAGCATGAGAAATTAGGTTTTGCCATACAAGTTTTTAAAGTGTCGTTAAAAAAATACGATAAAGGTCTACCCTCTATTTCCCAGTAAAAAAACATATTGCACTTCACTTTGCTACACTATGCTCACTATAAGACATCCTATTTCACCCCTTCTCTCTTCTGTACACTATATAAAGTGATTTTTGCTTTTATCTTTAAGAGTGTAGTCTGTGTATTCACCTCGGTGCTGGAGTGTGGGTCTAAAGCCCGGATTTCTAAGGGGAGCTGACTTCAAAGCGTCCAGCAGTGGGCCCTCGGTGCAGCGGGTTCAAAGGGAAGTGTCCTTTCGCTCCGCAGCCTCAGAAGCTTCCCCATTCTGCGCAGATGTGTCCCAGTCTGTTTGGGTCAGATAGAAAGCACCACTATGTATCTATTTATATCAGTGGGAGTTGACTGGTTATCCCGATCTGATCCAAGGCAGCTTGGACCATACTCTTCTTTTAGTTTATTAATGGACGGGCGGTGGGACTGTTACATAACATGCTGTGAAAAATTCGGCAGGGCTGGGGTTTCAGAGTACAGCGCCCCCTGGTTGTAAAAGTTTAGCATAGCGGTGCCATCCCTGCTAATATAGTATTGTATTCAACTTTGTATCCAACTGTCTTCTGTACTGAGGAGCGCCCTTCATCTCGTTACACTACTAGAGCAAAACCATTACAGTGCGGACACAGACCCTTTCCGGCTGTGGTAATGGAGAGAGCCTGTTCGTCTAATGGAAAGGCTGGAAAGAGAACACAGAGCACAAGCGCAGTGTGAAAGCCACGGGCAGTGCGCTCTTACGCGTGAGAGAGAAAGAGAGGGAGGGAAGGAGGGAGGGAAGGAGGGAGGGAAGGAGTGGTGAGAGAGTGGGTAGTGGCGGGGACCCCACTGCGCTTGGGAAAGACGAGAAAAGGCTTCATTTAAGGTGGAGTCATAATTGTACATTTTACCACTACAGTAATGTACTGTAATGACTGACAAGTAGTGATGCTGATGTGAATAACTGATCAAGAATATATGGAGAAGGCTCGTGTTTTGATGTATTCACTAACACAGATCTGTACCGTTCACTGGTGTTTTAATTACGGTCTTATAATACATCTGATTCCCAAAGTTTTCTTACACTGAAATTCTTAAAAATTTGGTGCCACGTTTGATTCAATTTCATGTTTAAAAATTTTCAAAATCTGTGGCTACCGCAAAGTACCAAGTGGCATTTCTGCACGACGCACGAGTCCCTCCGCAAAATTCTAACACATTTACAAATGTAGATTTGAGTGGGACGACCTTAAAGAGGGCTGGCCCGTGTGGGTCTTGCTCAGCGTTGCCCACCTCCCCCTCGCCTCCCTCCTGCACGCGCAGATGTGCGCTTCCCAAAGCCTCTATATAAAGTGCACGCGGAGACAGGGCGCTCAGTTCAGTGGACAGCTCCGTGGTGCTGAAACCACAGTTTCTCTTTCGCATAAATAGCTCCAGACCAAACCAACGCAATGGACGTCTTATCGCGGAAACTTTTTGTACTTTCCTCGTGGTTGTTTTTGGCACAGAGCACGACTCAAGACTTCGGACAGACACAGTTCATTTGCCAATCGGTGCCCAAGGATATGGACTTGTGCTCGGCATCAATGCAGAACAGTGGCCCGGCAGAGGACCTGAAGACCACCGTGATGCAGCTGCGCGAGACCGTGCTGCAGCAGAAGGAGACGATCATGAACCAAAAGGAGACAATCAGGGAACTAACATCCAAACTCAACCGCTGCGAGAGTCAGAGCGCGCCAGCCGCAGAGGGCGCGAGGCGGCCGGGGGGAAAGAACACTATGGGAGACGTGTCCCGGGGCACTACGGAGACGCTCACCCAACTGGGACAGACCCTCCAGACCCTCAAACAGCGGCTAGAGAATCTAGAGGTAGGAGCGCTGCGATATACCACCTTTTACTGGACCCACGTGTCTCTCTGCTCGGATCTGCTCCTACAGTTTCTGTAGCCTTCTGTCTTCTTTAATATTGCGCCTTTAATGCTATAACCATGCAGACAGCTTAGTTTAGTATATAGGCTATAACATAGGTGACAGAATGGGCTAACAAAAGAAGCTCATAGTAAGAAAAAAAAAAAAAAAAATGAAAAAAGGATTACAGTGCTATTGCCTTCTTTTTGAGGCAACTTGTCATTTGTGTCATTTTTTCATTGTGGCATCTTATTTTCATAAGATTAAGTGCATAGTAGAAGTAACAAGTGCTTATATGATTTTCCTGATATAACAAATATTAGGCATCTGAGACTTAATGTAATAATGTAATATAATAATGTAAACCGTACGCTCTTAAATTCACACTGCATGTTGCTTGTAGAAAGAAAAGAGTTTTTCTATAGAGTTGAAAGTGTTTTTTGTAGCATTTCGCAGCGTGTCGCGGTGAAACTGATGTGACAGCTTGTTTATGACTGTTTATCGCTGCACAAAAGTGTCCCGTGTCCCGCTCTAACCCCGTGTTTGTCCGACGCAGAACTACAGCCGCGGCAACAACGGCTCTACGCAGGCGAACAGCCTCAAAGACCTGCTGCAGAATAAGATCGACGATATGGAGAAGCAGGTGCTGTCCCGGGTCAACACTCTAGAGGAGGGCAAAGGCTCCAGGAACGACACGGAGCAGCGCAACCGCGTGGAGTCCACGCTCTCACGTCTCTGCACCACCGCATCACGGACCTGGAAAAAGGTGCGCACCTGGATTACACACGACCTACCGCTTTAGCTGTGTGCTTTAACCCCGACGGACAATGTTACATCATTCATTATGAGCCTATCACTCAGGCAGAGCGCAAAATGCCGCAGCCCCTCGTTGCGCGCGGATTTGAGGAGGAGCAGAGTGAAGCTGCATTATTTTGCATATCTCAGAACCTGTTTGCTCTTTGGATTCATCCACTTTGTGATTTTTAAAATGAGTTTCCTCTAGGAAAGTTTACTTTTTGCACGTTGGAGCATATAGGCTACACAGGTATAAATTAGTGCGTGTAGGCGCGTGCACAGGGCTTGTATAAACCAGAAAAGAGGAGGTAGAGCCCGCCTACACAGACCAGACACTGAAAATATCAACCCAATACCCGCAGAACGTGCTTGAAACTGAAGGTCAAATAGATCTACACCACCAGGCTTTTGTGAGGAGTTGAAAATGACAAGTGTACACTTTGCTTTTGTGCTTTTAGTGTGTGAAGAGTTTTAGAGCTTTTGAGTTGAAGGACAGTTTGACCTCTAGACGGCTGACCTTCTCACTGTTAGGTCATTTCAATTTATACACTTACGGGCCTAAAATGTTAGAAGTTGATAGAATTGATTAAATTCAAGTAGACCATTTGGTCTACCAATGCCTCACAGCCTCTACTTGGAAAGCTAAACATATATAACAGTAATCTAAAACCATTGCTATCTAACCTGACCCTGGTCACATGTACAGGTAAAGACGGCAGACCCAGTGAAAAGTTCCAGTTGACGTTCCCATTGAGGACCAACTATATGTACGCCAAAGCCAAGAGGAGCCTGCCTGAGATGTACTCCTTCAGTGTCTGTCTGTGGATCAAGTCCAATGCCTCTCCGGGAGTAGGCACGCCTTTCTCCTACGCCGTCCCAGGACAGTCCAATGAGCTGGTGCTCATTGAGTGGGGCAACAACCCAATGGAGATCCTCATCAATGACAAGGTTTGGAATCTAAAAAAAAAAGTTTCATTTGATTTGACTATAGTGTAGTTTAAAATTAGGACCATTACCATAGCAATTAACTAAATAAAATATTATGTATTTTGAATGGGGGAAAAAAAAAATATATATATATATAATATAAAATATATAATATAATATAAATATTGCATATCATAACAGAAAGGTAAGACCAAAAGATAAGTTGGCATAGACTCCAGCCAAGATTTTATCAAGAGTCTGTTCTTTGTTAGAGACCCATAACTGTTGGAATGGACTTCACTCACTTTTTCGGATTAAACAGAATAACATATATTACACCTCTAACTATAACTCAGAAGAGCTTTTTAGTTGCAAAGTAGCTTCATACAATTACTTATTATCGAAAGTGCACTATGTAACTTTTCTAATGTGCATTCCACTACCTGCTTGTCTCAGTAAAGTGGAAATGTTACTGCTTTGTCCAAAATATTCCACAGTATGTCATATTGTCATATAAAATCTTTAAATACACACCTTCTTATTGTGAGCAGGGTCACTTCTCCACAGATCTGACATGTGATTTAGTAGTGTCACCTGCTTATGTCCATGTAGAGAGATAAGTTAAATGACATATTATTGGAAGAAATATTGAAACATTTCTGGCAAAACACCATCTCAAAGGGACAAGTGGGTAAAAAGTTACATAGTGCACCTTTAAATTTGATAGATACACTACAAAATGTACACTCTAGCCAAGTTAAAATTGCTGGAATTAAGAAAAATTATCTTGATTTGAATGAATTTCGCTTGGTAATTAAAATGATCCACTAATGAACCAGACTTTTTGTAATTAAAATAAGAAATGTTCAGTGTAATAACAAGAAAAACAACACATCTTTGCACTTAAAATGAGAAACAAAATCTTCCATGGCTTGAATAAAAAAATAAAATAAAATAAAAAACACACTTGGAAAATCATTTTACTTGTCAAACTCACATAAAATAAAAAGTTTTGAATGTACGTTTAATTTACTTAGATATACGTTTTGCTATATAATCCAAATGTGGGCTGTATTCCAAACTCTAGACCAATAGCACGCTTGTAGATCTAAATCTAAAGGCGCTTTACCTCACCCAATTATCTGCTTACATTCTATATTGCAAGTGTCATGAGCATTGTCGGTGTAATTGTGTAGCCGTGCAGGAGGCCTCATAAAAATAGATGTGGGTGACAAATGTGGGGTGTTAAAACAGAACAGAAATGTGAGACAAACCTGTGGAAGATATGGGGAAATAGTGGAACAGTGTGTTATCTGAAGTGCATAAGACAATTAGACCACCAATTTAACGTCATTCTATTTACAATTTGACTAAAAATCTTACCTACAGTTTTCTAATTTTTTTTATTTTGGTTGGCGTTTAGTTTACAGGCAGCAGCTGTGACATAGAGATAGTTCCAAAAAATTTGTTCCTTGCACATAAAATTCTCGCAGATTTTTGGATTGAATTTTTTTTAAGTCAGTGATGGGCAGACAAATTCAACTCTTGAATTCTTCTATTACTTCTTGTATTTTTGTAATATTTGGGTATGACAAATATACACCACAAAAAAATGTATAAAGAAGTGATATGAATTTTAAAGGGCCCATAGTATGCTATTTTCTGATCTATATTCTGATCTCATCAAAAACATAACTGGAGTTGTGTTTTGTTCACTCATGTTTATCTCACAAATCCGGCGTATATTGAGTTTTTCTCTCAAATATGAAAACACTCTGTTCCATCTTGTGTCATGAAAATTCCACACACCGGCACTAGAATAATTTAGACAATTTCACCTCTGGAATTGCTGATCTCTACTGAACTAAAGGTACAATATAGTAGTAGTACATCACAAGGTAAAACAGAGAATTTGAGTTTTAGAATTGTAGACAGACTAATAAACTAGAATTACTCAAACACGTGACTGAAACAAAACACAACTCTGGGTATGTTTGTATTATAACAGGGCTTAAATCAGCAATCCATTTTGGGTAATATAGGACCTTTAATTATGTGAAAATTGAAAATATATTGTTTGTTACAGGTTGCCAAGCTGCCATTCCTAATCAATGATGGAAAATGGCATCACCTCTGCATCACATGGACCACTCGGGACGGGGTGTGGGAGGCTTTCCAGGATGGTGTGATGAGGGGCAATGGAGAAAACCTGGCACCATACCACCCCATCAAACCAGAGGGGGTGCTAGTCCTGGGACAAGAGCAGGTGAGCAGCTGACACTAGCCTGCAAGACACGACCTCTACTGCTAATGAAATAGGAGCTAAGAAAAAAGAAAAAAACACATTCATGGGTTTCAGAGTGATAAAAAATCATTTACTGTTACCATAGAGATCTATAATTTAAACCAAAAATATTGTATTACTACTGACCCAAAGGTTTACGGTTTACGAATCCTGCCGTAAACATCATTGGTAGAGTGATTAGATCCAATAACCCATCATTTGGCAGCTGCCATAGATAAGTGCTGTTTTTGTGTCCTTGTGCAAGACTATAACCTGCCTTACCCCAGTGTCTGTGTGTGAATGGGTGTGTGCTCCTTAATGTAAAGCCTTGAGTGCCTTTAAGGTGGAAAAATGCTATATAACAAAAGGAGGGCCTGGAATGTTCCACAGTATGGCATTAAAAATATATACCTCACAATTATTGAATTACAGGTGTTTTAGTGCTTATTTATCTTGCAAACCATGTACTTCAAATGTAAGAGCTCGCCTCTTCATAGATCTAACCCATAGCATGGTCAGTAGGTGTCACCTGTTGTGTCTTCATGGTTCAGTGCCATACTTTGGAACATTCTAGGTAAAGCAATAAAATCTCAGTGGATACAAGTTACACCTCAAAGATATTCTATATATATTTATATCTTGTATCTACTGAACAGCTCTGTGTGCTACAAGATGCAGATTGAATACAAGATTGAATTTAAAATGGAAAATATTTCAACCATGAAATGATGGTGATTGTTGTGATCCTCAAAACTCCACTGGTTCAGACGTTGCATTACAGTTTATTACATAATACTGGACAGATGGTCATAACACACCACATTAAGTCCAATAATAGAGAAGGACTATGCAGTTAGGCTTGATAGGTTTTTATTGAAAAGAGCCAAAGAACTGAAATATGCTACAACCAAAGGAGACAACAGAAAGAAACAACCAAAGGAGACAACAAAAGATTACAACAGTGTTTTCCTCTTTCAACTTCATCTAGTGGAAACAATTGGAACGACATGACATCAAAAAAGAAATAAATTCAAACTTATTCAGTAGGTTGCATTCACGTTCTAGGATTTGGTGATGCCATAATTTCAGACAGAGGGGCCTATATAACTCTGTGGGAGATGTACAGTTTTTGAAAGAGTTATCCAAATGCTGAACCTTATTATTCGTTCAAAATTGGATCCACAAATAAAAACTTTATGGCTTAGAGTCCTTTTTAACTTTTTGTCATTTGTACTGATTGAGAAGACTTTTTTTTTTTTTTTTCATGTGGGTAGGCTCAGTAATTACAAAGATATTACCCATAAACCAAGTCAACAGATCTGCAATCTGACAATCAATGCATTGTGTAATTTTTATGGTGGAGGGTCTGCCACCAGCTTATCTCCATGGAGATGTCACTGCTTTGCCTTGAGTATTCCACAGTGGAAATGGAGTCAAGTTAATGGTCAGATCTATGGAGAAGCTGCGCTGCACATAATAAAAATTAATGTTTTTCTGGGATTTTTTTTAGCTATAAACACCTGTAATTGAATAAATGCAAAGCAGACATGTTTAATGCCATGCCATGGAATATTTCATGTAAAGAAATACACCCAACAAATTGTCTTGTCTCCATGGAGCAGATCCTCCACCTTAGAAGTTGCATAATGCACCTTTAAACACCAAATTTCACCTTTGAATTAAAAAGTATAGGGGTTCTAAAATATTGTAATGCCTCATAAATCCAATATATACTAATTAAGCATGGTATTTACTCGTTACATAACACTATCCAGTTTAAATTGAAGCCAATATCAATGCAGCGTTAACGTGTATTTATTTCTCCAGGACACATTGGGAGGTGGATTCGATGCGACACAAGCCTATGTGGGCGAACTGGCAAACCTAAACATCTGGAACAGGAAACTGACAGTAGCTGAAATCTACAACCTGGCCACATGCAATAGCAAAGCACCAGCAGGCAACGTCTTCTCCTGGTCAGAAAGCAACATCGAGATTTTCGGAGGAGCAACCAAATGGACATTCGAGCCGTGCCGTTCGAACAACTAAACTGACCTGAACTTTTAAAAAAAGCCTTGCCGTATTTTCCGAGCTTTTGTCGTTTTTTTTTTTTGTTTTTTTGTTTTTGTTTTTTTGTCTTCATTTTGTTAAGAGACTATTTTGACTTTTAGTAAAAGCTTCGATCTGGGATTTCTTAGGTATTTCTGTGCAACACTTTTCATCTTGAAGATATAAAAAAGAAATCATTGTGGGATTTTTTCCGAGTTTTTCTTCATGGATGTTAAAATGCACACCTCTGCTTTTTCTTTTTGGCTTACTTTGTCTTGGACTGGCAACCGGCAATCCGAGCCTTACACTTGGACGGTTCACAAAGAGGGATTACATAAGAACTGCTCTGCCTGAGGAGAAGGAGATTACGCTGTCCATCACATTTCTGTCAGTGTTTTGGATCTGTGAGGCAATGTCTGACGTTCTGGGACCCACATCCACCCCTTTCACTCCCCCTGCCCCTCTCCCACAGACCCCACCCACAACACGTATGGATGTAACAATGCACTTAAGTCACAGCATAAGTATACATTTACATACAATTTCTTATGATTTTTATTGGTATCTAAAGGTTCCTTTCCAACTTAATTTATGTAAAGATGCACTTTGTAACTTTTACAAGGGAGTGTCAGCAACCTGCTCGTCTCCATGGATATGCGTTTGCTTTGCCAGAATGTTCCACAGTATAGTATTAGTATTGGTCTTGCAGTTATTTCATTACAAGCAAAAAAAACAAAAAACAAAACCTTGATACACTTTCTTACTGTGAGTGAGATTGTCTCTCCACAGATGTGACCTGTCCCTTGTCCTGGTGGCTCATCTCCATGGTAACAGATAAGCATAATGTCATTGGAGGGGACATTCAAGGTAAAGCAATCACATCTCCATGGAGCAACCAGGAGGCGGACTCGCAACAAGAAATGTGTGTGCACCTTTAACAAAAACATATTTATATATTTTATTCAAGCATAAAATGAACATATAGTTTTTATTAATGATTTTTCTATTGTATTTATTCATGGATTTACATTATTATTTATTTATATACAGTATTTACTAAACAAGTAAGCCATAGTCTGTACCGTTTAAACTTCTGACGGCGTTGACACTTTGTTTTACTGCCAATTCAAAATCCAACTATACAACAGATTCAGCCATTTTACTCATTATTACTTTGACCCATTCCACCCCATCCGGATCTTGCACTGTGACTGCTGAGGAGGAGGAGGAGGAGGAGGAGAGAGAAGCTGCGATGAAGGACACTGCAAAGTCAGACTATGGTCGATTTGTAATTGTCGCTTTTCTTCTACAAGTGTCTCTGTTGTAAGAATGTCGTTAACTTTGCCAACATTGCTACAAAAGCCTGGGTGCCTTGGGCTGGTTCTCGTGTTCAGCACATTTGGTATGTTTTTCAGTTGCGATGATTCAATGTTTTTTCCAGTTAGTTGTTGAGTTTTTTCGAGGCGGGTTGAGTTTCTTGTTCTTCTGGTAACTGTGTATTTTGGTTTGTTTTCGGACATGTTTTATGGGCAGGTGTACTACGCTGTATAAGGAATGTTACAGTGTTTGTATAGTAACAGCATGAATGAAAGAGTGCTGTGGAAGCATTGTTGAAGTCTGCTTTACTATCTCTGGGTCTGGGTTTTCTACTGTATTGTTATATGCTCCAAGCATGGCAAAACTGAGAGATGAAGATTTAATTTTTGTAATAAAATTGTGATACCAAACGTCATGGTGCACTGGTTCTGGTTGTCTATAATTTTATTCGAGAGCTGTTTGAGAAATTTGAGAGCACAGTTGGCAAAACATGACTTTAAAAGAAAACAGGTAACATTTGGATTTGCAATCACTTCAATTACTTGATCCAGCTGGTAACACTGTCAGAGTGAAATTAGATACAGTTAGTTAGTTTTCATAAAATCACTCAAATAAAATCACATGTCCCAACACAGCGGGTTATAATTTTACTAGAAATATTTTAATATCAGGCGCGGGGTTTACGAATTCTTTCTGTAGTGAAGTGAATTTCATGTTGGTTCTTCTAGTTACACAAAACATGCACAGCTAATTGGAAGCTCCAGTCTCAAATTATGGAGAGGGTCCCCCAACACATACAGCTCCTGGACAACAGCTCAATGCCATTAAAGAATTGGTCAGTGCAAAGAATAAAGGGATAATCCTTGAAAACATGCAAAAGCTATTAGTATAACAAAGACAAGATAACAAATCAGACTATATGAAAAAAATAAAAAAATAAATAAATAAATCAATCAAAGCAATCATGTCAGACTGGAGAGGCTTGTCAGAAGCATGAGAAAGCACAAAAGAGCTTTTTGGCACAGATAATGAGGTATTCCCCCAGAGTCTGGTGGTAGAGGATGAATATCCAGCCTTACTTAAAGAGTCACATGCAGAATTCTTTTATCTGGATTTGAGTAATAAATGAAAAACAAGATTTTCATATCACATTGGCTTGAAATAAAACAAGTCGGAAACAATTTGAAATATTAAATTCAACCATCAAGACCAGCAGTTAAGTTAGTTAGTAGTTAAATCTTCTAGTGAAATAATATTTTAGAAATAATAAAATTTATAGAATGCAAGTAATTTTAACTAAACAATAAATTAATATTTGCCAATGAAGCAAATAGTTGTTCATTAACAACTATACATAACAAGACACAACAAAACTGAAGGTTTACTTTGTCTTATTTTTTTATATTTATTGCAGTTGGGTTTTGTAACAGTGCCACATTTTTACAGAGCACCTTTTTCACCAAAGGGACGATCTCAGTGCTAGCTCTGTCCACTCTTCAAAACCAGCACAGGTCATCAGGCGCGCCCTTAAAACCCCACCATGACACGGGGATGGTGGAGGAGAGAGGGCTTTTAGCTGACTCCTGACTCTCTCTCTCTCTCACACTCTCTCCTCTCCTTTCTTTCCAATGCTGCTGTGCGTGCATTAGCGGCAGTGGCAGAGGAAAAGTGCCTACTCATATGCTCCTCTTCAGAGTGTCCTAGTTCAAGTGAGTCCAGCCTGAACTTGTTAAGCCCCATTCACACATAAGTTCCCAGTAAATGGCTGGGTACAAAACACCTATACACACATGCACCAGTCCTAAAACATTGCCAGGTTTGTTCTGTTTACACTTGTCACTCCTCAATTTGAGTTAGAAATGAATTTGCATCAAAATCCGATGAGCACATTTGAGAAGTGCGCAAACATTGGTCATTTACTACTGCAACACAGACATGGACAAACTAGTTATAAATTGTTATAAATTCATTTTACTCTTAATAATAACTTTACTCCCTTGGGCCCATATTTTCTGGTCTATGTTATAATCTTGTTTCCTCATCACAAACAGACCTGGAGTTATGTTTTGTTTCATTCACACATGTTTAACACACAAATCCTGCGTATTTAGAGTTCTTCACTCAAACAGAAAACATTTTGTTCCACCTTATGATGTTATGTGATAATACAGGAAGTGCTCCATTATGTTTTAAGTTGATACACCTTCACTAGAATTATTTGGATATCTCTATTGAACTAAAGTAAACTACTACATGACATCTCAAGGTGGAAAAGAGCATTTTGGGATTTAGAGATGTTGACAGACTAATAATAAAAGGGTTACTGAAACAGGAAACAAATCACAACTCCAAGTATGTTTATGAGGAGCTAACAACATTAAGATGGGTGTAAAGTCAATTTTGCGTAATATAGGGCCTTTAAAGAATGGCAAAGCCTTCCTTGTGTATTCTCAGTAACTTTCCCTACAAATAGACAGACCAGAAATACAGGAAAATCTGTTCTGGCTGAGTTCACACATGACTCTGTTCTGGAAAATTGCAAGCAATGTCCCAGATCAGGATCATGTATGAAAGTTTTTTAACGGGACAGCAAACAGACTGTCCTGATCACCTGTTGCCGCGGTTACTTTGAAGATGGGACAATCACTGAATTTAAATGAGTTGAATTTGAATGCGAAGAGGGAGGGCCACATCTGTCTGCCTCTGCGCCTGTGCTTCAGACAATCAAAGTGTCATCTTCAATGGTAAAGTCAAATACAGAGAGGAAACGTGCAAAAAGGCAATGTCATGTTTAACCTTGAGGAGAGGTTTTCTGCCATAACTTGCGAGCCAGTTAAACGAATGAATGATGAATAAAACAAAAGATTTGCTTGTTCCCTCCAAGATCAAGGAAAAAGAAGAATAAAACAGCATCTCAATAAGTTCAAATGACCACCAAGATTATTAAAGCATGAGTGCAATTCGATCATCAAGTCTGAAGATTTCTAAGGTGCAAGGAATAAAATAATGTAACCTCAATAACCATACAGTCAATGTATATAACTTAAAGGTACAATATGTAACTTTTCTGGCGGCTCTGTTTGTTTGTCTAATTGAAGATGTTATTTCATTGCCTGGATGATTTCATCCATTAGCATTAAACTTATTGATCTCCATGGAGAAAAAACAGGGTCAGAAGCCTGCTTAGAGAATAAAAATTCAAGTTTCAAAATGTTTTTGAACGGCAATGATTGCAAAAAATTTGATCATACCGGTCCAACAAAACTAGTATAAAATCAAATAAAAGCAAAAATATAAAATCACAAAACAGCAATAAATAAGTAAAATGAATAAAAATAAATAAGGCAAAACAATAAAATCTCGGAGAAGACAAGCAAGTGGCACACTCTCTAGTAGAAAAGTTACATAGTGCACCTTTAAACACAGCGACACTTTCCACCTCCCTGTACAATGCATATGATTTATTGCTTACGTTTTAATTAATTACTGACAATTTGATATTTTCCACTTTGTAGAGCTGATAGCAGCAGACATGACAGCCCTTCCAGTCAGAGGTCATTTAAATACTAATGATTTTTGGATTTGGATGAGCAACACTATAAATCCACATTTTATAATTCATCATTTGGCAGGTGACAGCTCAGATCTCACAGTTAAGCCTGACACACACACACACACACGCA